TCGGATGTAGTGGTGGCTTTCTTATTGTTTAATATTTGACATTTAAATTTATGAGTAATATGAGTTATATACTATTTACGAAATAAGTAAGTAACTAAGACTATCGACAGCAAGATAATATTAAAAAATTTTACATATTATATTTATCACTTAAAGCTTTCGCGCTCGTAATTGGCAAGAGATATAAATTTTGATGTATGCGCGTCGTTTGTGTAGCAGGGTTAATTTGCGCCTCGCTGCTTCGAAACCGCGCCATTTACTTAAGTTAGAGTATAATAAAAAATTGTATATAAATTAAACTTAGATGTAATATAAACCAAGGCAACAGTGCACAGTGTTGTATAGCAACCTGGTTTATGTTATATCGAAGTCGTTTTAACGGGGCTTTGAAATAATATAAATCAACAGCCGTGTTATATTGAAGCGTAATCATAAGCAACATTTTATGATACCCTAAAGTTCAAGCATTGCATGTATATATGAAAAAGTAAGTTAAAAAAATGGAAGATAAAAATTGAAAATATATTCAAAAATTAATAATGACGAACACAAAATTAATTTTCATCAAAAATCATCGCTAATCAAATTTTTTTTTGTTGTTTGCAGTTTCCCTGTTGACGACAAGATAAAAATAAAAGCAGAAAAGAATTGAAAAAGAATTGAACGGAGCGCATATTCGGCTTTTGAAAATCATGTTTTTTTAAAACCGTGTTACAATATTCGTAAATTTTGTACCGTTTAGTGTTGAAACCGGGCTTGACAAATACCGCGTTACATGAGAGACGCCTGTATATTATTTACAGTTTACGTTGTAAATCGAAAATAATCTAAGAATTATAGACATTGAAAAAATCGAAGTAAGAATTGTGAGAAATTTTTATTAGGTTTACACAGAACTTTGAGACTAATCGCAGTTCCTCTCAAAATTCGGTTTGCATTTTCAGCAGCTAAGACTATCGGATTTGTTTAAAAAAAAAAAAATTTATACAAAAATATAGTTCAAATGTTGACTTGTTTCTTGCTTGAGAATTGTTCACAGACTTAATTGATTAAAATATGCTCAGAGTAATAATTATGACGGCTCATCATTAAATACCACATACCTTTTCACTTAATACAATTACTCAAAATAAACAGTTATGTGGGAAGTGGCCGAAAAGGAGGTCCGACCTGAAGCATTTTCAATAGCATTCGTCCTTGGACCAACCCCTTGGTCCAACACTTTGGGCCGTTATCCCAATTGTTTTAATATACCTCAAGAATTGAGGCCTTTAGGTTGAACACAAGAAAACAAAACGGACAGACTGCCAAACAAGGTTAGATCAATGCTGGCAATGATCCTACAGCGGTCGGTGTAATAATATATATTGTTTATGTTGTTGTTATTTTAATTATAATTTACTTAGGCTAAAAAAATAAATTTTTGAGTTAAAGTAAGATGAACCTAGCAGCTACGACTATCGGTTTTATTTAAAAGAAAGTAAACAAAGTCTCTATTCAAAAATAGGAGTTCAAATTTTGATTCATTTCTTGTCTGATATCTAAGCAACTTCCGATGAAGCTAGGTAGAATCTATTGTCCATATTTACCGACTATATATCAACGAAACACACGAACTCTTGTTTTCAACATATAGATAAAGTGCATGTTACATTCAACTGTTTTTCTTAGGCTCCGAAATCTAGAGTCAAAAAATGCATATTCGACATGCAATGCTTTGGGAATTTAAACAAAGTGATAGTCTTAAGGCAACAGATGAAAGAATATGCAGGCAATCAGAAATTGGTTTGTAAACTGCCGTTGTGGAAATGCGACCTTAAAAGCCGGGATGTTCTGCCGACTTTGACGTCAACTTTTTAAAGGCATTATTGGAGCTACTTTTGATGAAGTTTAGTATGCAGACATACTATGGCCCAAGGACGAACGCTATTGAAAATGGGTCGGATACATCCGCTTTTTCGAACACTCCCCATATAATGCCTGATTCTGAAAAGTACCTATATGAAAAAAATTGCAATTCTCCAAATTTCTCAGCAAAAATGGCTAAGTAGTAGTATTTCGGCAATCTAAATTGGTTTTGAACTCTCTCATATAACTAACTCAAGGACTAATTGCTAATTTTTTTTGTGATGATAATTTTTTCATGATAGTAATTAGACAAAAAAGACTAACTTAGACTAAGTGGACCTAATTTGAACCGCATGGGTCTATTTCTTGGCCCAACTCCTTATAGTGTGGTTCATGAAGAGTAAGCTCCTCGGAGGAACGGTTAATTTTTAATATTTTATGATGAAAATTAAATCATTGCAGAGTTTCAGCAAAAAAATTAATGGTAAATCATTTGGATCACATAGAACCACTTTTTTGGACTCCAGCACTATCACGAAAAGCAAAAGAGAGAAAATCTGACCTTTCAATATGCAGCCTTTCGTGGAAATTATGGATTTGCATGAAAATACGTACACGTACTTTTTCGTGTATTAATGCCAAAACGAGTGAGTAAGTGTACTAAGCGAAGTGGTGTAGGGAATGTGAAGGTCGGTGTTGCCCGACTATAATGTTCTAGTTTTCGTTAAGAATAATTATATATATTGTCAGCAAACTGACTGATCTGATTGGTTCAATAAAAGTACGTTTTTAAATAAGATATAAAGTAAGATATAAATAACATCCAGAAGCATTTGAGATAGACACGCCTTTTATTATGCTGATTTCTATCCGTTTACCCGTCTCGTATAATTGTGTCCAACTTTTAAGTCGTAATTATTCGAATTTGGAGTACTGACGTGTTTTGGCCGAAGGACGAACGGTCCTAGAAATGGTTCGGATTGGACCACTTGTTCACCGGTCACCGTTGTAGGGTATTTTAAGGTGGACCGCGGCTCATTATATTATTTTTACTTATGTTTAATATATGCAACTCCTTTATTACTCCACCGAATTATATGATGCTTAGTAATCACTTGTTTAAAAGTAATAAGAAATAAATTACGTACGGAATGGCCAAATTCTTTACTCAAATCTTGCGGACTATTTACGCGGCCTTATATAAGTTCTTTTGGTAATTCTCTGTGGAGAATTTCCAATAAACTATTTTTGAGTTAAGAAAAAATCTAGGACTCACAATGACAATTTCCGATTAAAATATCTAAATATGTGAGGTTATATTTTATTAAAAGGGAAATATTCATCAGCGCGCGGTTTATGGTTCCCAATATCGAGTAATTGGTAGAGAGTTTAAGCTGCCGCTAGAGTACGCATTTTTCTTGCTGCCGATCAAGTTTACTCGATATCGAGAACCATAAACCCAGCTTCTTCTAATTGCCGATAGATGTATGGGCCAAATTGGTTGATGGGGACATGTGTTTGTTTGGATTTTTTATGAAAATGCGGCCAAGTTGCATATACCAATACTGTTCCAGTCCTACGTCGCTTGTACGGGATTACTTATTCGAATTTGATACTTTGTGGGAACGGGAAAGGCAATATAAAATTTTAGATCCAATTTGCTTTCGCAGCCAAAGTTTTGTAGTCACAAGTGCAAATTCAGCAGGCAGGCAGACAGAGGTCTTCATCTTGAATATGTAGATGTATGCGTATCTATACCTATATATATCTATGTTCTTAAATGGCGTTTATCGGACTTCCTCATTGCCCGTAACCATTTCAGATATATGAATATGGAAGAAGAATTCGAAATATTTCCCTCATTCGAACTATGAAGGTTTGTAGCCCAGAATGCAAATTTCTCTTTCTCTTTCATTTTGCAATAATTTTTAAAGACTAGCGAAAGATTTGAAAAACCCGTGGTGTAAAGGAATTCGCTCTGATTATTTTCAATGAAAGAGGGCGACGTATTGTATGCATTTTTAATGAATGTGCAAAGCTTCCTTTCTAAACATATAAAGTTTATTTATTCATGAACATAGATGTAATTGTAAAGCATAATCAGTGTCACAATAATAAGTTGCGGTTTACTTTATTGTAATTGTTACTATATTTGATTTCATTTGTTTAGCATACAATTTCAAAAAGCAATGAATGTCATCATGTAGACAAAATGGTATGCAGTTGTTTACAAAAAAACAGGTACTGGGTTGTTCTTGTTGCTGTTGTTATTATTATGTACGACCGTATGTATGATTTCATTTACGCAAACTTTTAATATAATTTACATATTTTATATAAATTTATATCAGAGTTCGTAAAATGTTCTCGGTAAAAAGTTATAAATTATCTGTGTAACAAGTAAGAAAGTTACGTTCGTCTTGAGATGAACTTTTGTTCGTATAATATATGCGACTACTTTATATTCTACGCCAAAAAATTGTGTTTAGTTACTTGAGTGTGCTTGAGTCGATCGATCAAGATCGTTTTTTAGAAGGAATTGAGATAAATCCACCTTTAATTTTGGTTTGGATATGACCCATTTTTCGAGCGCTTTCCATGTAAAGCCTTGTTTTAAAAATAACTATATTAAATAAAGTGATGTAAGGTATTTAATGAGTGTGAATCGTAGCGCACTATAGGGTTTTTACTTCCTTTTACTTCCTTGATCTGAGGTGTTTTGTTCCCTTTGAAAAGTTATTTTGAAAACACTTAAAACGTAACATCTACCCGATTGTATTCGATTACCGCTTTGCCTTTCTCTTCATTAGCTTATTGAATAAATTAAGAGTAACGTTAAGTGCGCTTTATTTTATTGCTTTAACTTGACAATTTTTTTACGGTTTTCTTTAAATGGTGGCTTTTTTTTTTTTTTTTTTTTGCTTGGATAGATTACAAACAATTTCCCCTTAATTGCGATCACCCACATAGAATGAGAATATAATAAGTCAATCTCCCCGTTTATAATGTATATATAAGAAGTGTAATGGAATTTTTTACAATTTTATTGAACGGTATAAAAAGATGTACATATCGTTATTCAGTATTGAAAGCTGATTGAGAATAGTAGCATATGTTTTGAAATTTTTTATTTTTTTTGTGAACCTGTGTGATTTCTGATAACTAACAAAGTGCATTCGTTCGTTCCTTAATAATTAATGCGTTAATTGGTTAATAATTTCGAATTAATTTTTATTTTTTTGTAAAACATTTCGTATCTTCGAGGAAGCAAACAGATCAAGGCTAAGATAACCAACAGTCACCAACTGAAAACAGATACTTCTACCAGGGGAATCACACAATTAGTAAGTAAGTGTTTGTCATGTGACAAAATTTGTGTGTACACACTTTGCTTATTGTCATCAGTTCGGTTATAAGAGATTCGCAATGCAATGTTGCCTTTTAGTTTTTATTCACAGACTTATAAATGATGCAATCTAAAAAATGTTGCGCCTCTATCAGTATCAAAATATGTTTGTTCAATAATCATTCTCAGCTTTCTAATTTAAATTGAATTTTATTCATAATTAATTTTTAAGAGCTAAGTATTCAAAGTTCGTTATAAGACTAATTTCGTTTTTTGTTTTGTTTTATTTTTTGTTGTTGTGTATGTGTTTTATTATTCCAAGCAGTGTAGTATGTTTATATGAGTATATGAAACGTGTTGGATTTTTTTTTTTTCAAAATAGATGATTTAATCTTATAAAAAATTAAAATACAGGCCGGTTAAAACGTATTCAAACTGGTTACATCTAATTATATCTGGATTTAAATGTTTCCATATTTTTGTATTTTATCTACTCTGTAATTTTTGTTAGTAGATTTGCATTCACTTCTCTAATGTTATTCATACACCGGGGCCGTCGTCGAAGGGAGGGCGTAGGTTAGAATTTTCTTTTTGCTGATAACAGATAAAGTAGCTCTCTCATCAGTGTTAGATTTCAGGTAGTCTTGGTTATGCATGTTATTTTCATCGTCAATTCGCTGATCTTTTTAAATATATTACGATAGCAATAATTGCTGAAAGCAGAGGCTTGTCATGAATTGAGTTCTTAGTGAAGGAGGACAGATGACATTTGGAAATGGATATGAAATTGAAATTTATTAAAGTTCTTTAAGAGAACTGTATAAAGATTCGGTATGAAAATGCTCTCCATTGTAACTGAAGACTCTATGATTACCTGAAGCTTATTGTGACTTTTAAAGAGAAGCGCCTTCAAGATTCGCTATAAGCTGAATATAGTTTTCACATCTTTTGTACCCCTGTACACAGCCTAGACTACAAGGATGTGTTAAGTTTATGCGGTTGTATGCACCACACAGAAGGACGTGATCTTTAAGTCTTTATTTGTCCGTCTGTATGTTTCGTTTTCTTTTTGATATATTTTGAGGAAATTTGGTACACAGACAGGTTCGGTACAAAACTGAAAATATTCGAATCGGATCAAGAAAATGTTCGAATCGGATCTCTTCTTGGACGACTTCCCATATAATGCACCATTTTGAAAGATCGTTATAAGAATACCTGTAAAGTGTTATAGAGTAGTTAATCGTAGGCCGTAGCCCATTATATTGTTCTTACTGTTTTATTACTAATCTTTATTCAATAAAATCTAGAAGCTTGTTAAATGATTTGAAAAAAAAGCACTTAAGTTTCAAAAATTTAATTTACATCTTTTTCCGGGTGCTGGATGAGCACAAAATACTATATTTTTAAAGTAAATACTTAAGGAATTGCGATAATTTGTATAACAACACAAGGTGAAAATTATCTAATGTATTGATATGATAACATACGTCATACCATTTACCATGATTAACTTAAAAAAAAAAAACACTCACAATAACGAAGGCGTTAAAAGGGTGCGTACGAATGCAATGAAAGGCAGCAAGTAGAAATGAAGAGGAAAACAATGGTAACAATTGATAATTGTGAGCTTGTCCATCGTTTCATCTGTACACGATTCACATTTCTCATGGTCGTTTTAACTTTTCAATTAACTTAACTTTTTAATTAACATACACAGGTGTTTCTCTCCGATCTAGAATTTGATCTGAAGCTATTCATCAAGAATATATACTTTAGATTTAAGCTCTTAGCTCAGATCGTGTACACCTAATGGCTTTTAACGAAGGGCTGGAGACCTTAATGGACCCATCGACGCGCTGGGATTACTATAGGGATCTGTTAGGATTATACTCCGTGCTAAAAATCGTCGGTGAAGGCATAATACATAATGGAAGAGAACAAAGGATATGCTGAGGTGCATATACGGCTATGTGAAACTTTCAGTCTGTAGTGACATGCGGTAAAATGTAGAGAAAGAGGAAAGAAGGATAGGGAGCAGAACGGTATACAAAGTTACGAGAGAACGAACAATTAGGTTGAAAACATATTTCAAATATTCAGTCCTATCGTACACTACGTAATCTATGAACGCCTTGCTAGTTAAATCGGTTGCAATTGATGGGGTCCTAACTTCATATATAGCTGCATATAAAGCAAATTTTCGCTGATAATAAGTATTAATAGAAGTAAATGACAGCATTTTTACTTTATTTCCGAAGTAAATCCAACCTCTAACGTAAACCGTAATAAAACTTAGCTGAAACACTTTTTAACGAAGCAATTAAAATGAACTACATATAAAAACTGCTTTCTTTCCCAATCAAATACACGATATAAAAAAAAGTAAACAAACAATTTTATCACCTTTTCTCCAGTTTTGCTTTTATGTCAATACGGATTTAATCGATTTGGATAAGAGGGGCATTCAAACAGAAACCCTTCTCATGCTTCTTCATTCCTAACGAAATGTAAAATTGACTCTATTATCTTTGTCTAAGCACAAAAGTATTTCAAAGCCAAACACAAGCAGCCTTAACTAATCTTTAATGATAAGAGTAACATTTCTGTCTCATTCAAGCAAAATTAGAAAAAAAAATTTTCTTTTTTAATTCTAAATATAATTACAATAAAAATATCTTAATTAAATTTAAAAACAGATTAGATATAAAACTTGATACTTGACAAAAAATTTTTATAATAACCTGTTAATTCAAAGGCTAATGCCCCAATAAAGTATTTTCAAGCATTTAAAAGTCGATTATTGCGATCCTATTATCAATAACACTATTGTACGTATTTATTAACATGAGAGCCAAGCTATAGTAAAACTTTAGTATTAAGGCTATTATACACAAACTCACGGGGAACTTCGAATGAATTACCTATAGAAGTGATAAAGTATTGTTTAAACGTAGTTAAGTCAGTGCATTAACTTTATTCAATTAGCAGAAAACTATTATTCGATAGTAACACAGGCATTAAATTATTGTTATATAACTTTCCATGGTTGGGCGTGGGCGAGAGACAGAGAAGGGAGAAAGGTAGATAGATGGATGGGCAGATAGATAGATAGATAGATAGGTAGATAGATAGAGAGAGAGAGAGAGAGAGAGAGAGAGAGAGAGAGAGAGAGAGAGGG